CAAACACGCAAACACGTAGCATCATGTTCCATGTGTTCACATGCCAGCAGTTGAAGGTCTTTTTGTTTGACATGATGTCGCACTTTGAACTTCAACCAGTCTATAGAGCCCTTCCAACGATCGCACCTTGCAGCCCTAGCGGGTGCGCCCGCAAACCGCCCCACCCGCCCAGTTTGGCACGCGCATTCCACATGTCGCGTCCCCCAGAGAGCTCCACCGACGGGCCTTGTGGGCGTATCTGCATACCCGCCACCCCGCCGCCAATCCCAGCACACCCTGATGCGTGGTGCCCCAGGCAGAAATCACCGATTCGTGCCCCGCTGAGAACCCCATCTGCGGCCCGAATGGGGCGCTGCGGTCGCATGCCGCTCCGCCCGCCCACTTCGGCACTCCTCTCGAATGGCCCGGCGCGGGGCTGGGGTGGTGGGCGCCGTGGTGCCACGGTCAATAGATTATGTTTTCCTAGGGAAGGCCTCTTCCAGACGGCCCCATGCATCTGCGTCAGCAGCGCGAGCCAAACATCCAGGCCGCCCCGTGTGGAACCCAGAACCGTGACCGCGCAAAAATGTAAACATAACAACGCCTTCCCCAACGTTTATGCTGTTCACCGCGTCGGCGCCCCCGTGTCCAAGACTCTTCCCCAGCGCCCCATTGAAAAAGCATACGTACTGGCCCATGTGTCGGGCGTCTCGGGGGCGATGCGAACTGCGAATCGCGGCGGCTTCCGTCTCCAAGCAAACACCCAATAATCAATTTGCAGAGCGTTGATTTTCTGCTCTGGACTATGAGTCGCCCGCCGTATCCAAACAACCCGAGGTTCAGGCTCGTCAATTGCCACGCTGCCGCCAAGGTCCCCGTTCAAAACATAACTGCTCTCTGTAGCATCGCTGCTTACGCTCGAAGGTAGAACCACCTCTGTGCCCACGCTGTCTCGTGTCCCGCGCCTCCCCTGCGCATCGCTCGCGTTCCCGATCGCAGTTAAAACCATCAGTTGCTGGATCTGGACAGCTCGCCCCTGGGCGTCGCTCTCGAGGGTGATGTGTCCTAGCTCTTGTCGTAAGTTGTCTCCGTCTTTTGTCACGAGAAACTCGTTTCCAAGAGACGCTCGGACATTGCTTGAACATCCAGCGCCCTGTTTGAACATCCAGCGCGCGACCCCCCAACAACTTCAGCTTCACGACACAAGGATCCGAGCCAAGATCCAAACACCGTTCTGAGCCACACTCGTGCGCACCTCCCTAGAAAGCTCAACCTACGGCTACGGCCCCAGTGGATGCGTCAACGTGCCGCCTGCCTGCCCAGTTCAACACACACACACACCACATGTTTCGTGCCCCGCTGAGCAGCCTCACCTCTGGCCCGATTGGGAATGTTCGCACGCCGCCTCCAGCTCAATCCGGCGCACCCCTCGCACGCTCCGCGTCCCTCGCAGGGAGCCCCACCGATGGTCTCAGTGGACGCCAGCGCGTGGCACCTGCCGCCCTGCCGCCCCCCACATCATCGCGGCGCGCCGAGGAGGAGGCGGAGGAGGAGGAGGAGGAGGAGGAGGAGGAGGGAGGAGGAGGAGGAGGAGGAGAGGAGGAGGAGGAGGAGGAGGGAGGAGGGAGGGAGGAGGAGGAGGAGGGAGGAGGACACCCCTCACACGCCTCGTGCGCCGCGTGGAGCTCCCCGCGCGGCAACCGGACACACAGAGGGCCCTCACACGCCGACTCTCCTCGACGCGGTCCGGGGCACCCCCTCGCTCCGAGCACCAGCAGGGGGGGCTCCACGTGCCACCCCGAATTGGCAAGCTCGCACGGCGCCCCGCCGCTCCTGTTTGGCGGAGTCCCTCGCATGGCCCGGGCCTCACTGAAGGGGCCCCAGGACACACAAATAAATACACACAAATAAACATTTGCCCCATATTTTCCCATAGTTTCTGGGTTTCCGTCTTCCCGCCCACTTCCCATATTTTCCCCTGTTTTCCTGGGAATCGACGATTAATTGTGTCTGTGTGTTTTTTCCCCTCCTGACTCACACACCACTCCACTCACGGCCTCACTGGGCGTGTTGGGGTGGAGGACCCCCCTGCGCAAATCGGCATCCCCCTCACGCGGATCCTCCTTCGCACGGGCTTCAGCGCGCCTGTGCGCGTTCGTTTCCAAGACCCCTGAATCCGCAATGCCCCGCGGCGCGCTGTAGAGGAAGGGAGGGGGGCGCCGTGCGCTACACGAGACTTCGCAGGACTGGGCCGTTCGCCAGGCAAATCCCGAAGCGTCACAAATGCCACACGTGGACAAAGATCGTTGTGCTTCCCTTTGTGCTCTAGCTCATCCGCGATCTCGAAGCTAACGGAAACACGCCATACTAATAGGAGCAGCTGCGCTGGATCTGGCCGCACCTTCATACATTTAACACGATGGCCAACATGACATAGTTAATCTGCGAGGCCACTACATCATGCAAATGTGTGCACATGCGTGTGCAACACTGTTCAGGACACAATGCCAAAGCCGCGTCTTTGATATCCTTACACACATGTGAGGATGGTGCGTCTAGTATTCCAGTTCATTGCCCATGCTGTGAGGGTACCCATGGTTAGGTTCCTTATGATTCTGGACGATCTTTAACTGCGGGGTGATATTTGCACAATGCACTACACGGGGTACAAGCTATAGGGTGTGAGAAATCTATGCGGAAATTGAAATCGCAAAACGCACTTCTCGCGCAAACAACCCACCCTTCTACCCACACCATGTTGGGCAAAACTCATTTGGCCACGATTGCGGTTACTAAGTGGCACTTGCTAGCGCATCTATACGGCAACGCTGGCGCGCGCACACTCGCACGGAGAGCGACCAGCTGGTTTGACACAACCAATGCGGCCGTAATGGCGGCTGCCGGTGGGAACGTCCCAAAACATCTCAAAGGCCGTGCTGGCGTGCGGACCCTTCAATGCGGATCTGTAACTGGGGTGAGCGCGATAGCATTGTGACGTCGACAATGGCGGCAACGGTGATGACAATAGCGATGGTTGCGGCGATGACGGCAACGCCACTGACGGCGCCGATGCTGGTGACAATGATGAACATTATGGTGTCCATGTGTTGGTGATGAAGGTGATTGTGTCAATGATGACGATGGTGAGACGACGCTGAGACAATGTTGCTGGTGACAATGATGACGATGATCACTATGGCGGCGCAAGCGGCGGTTAACGATGACGAGAACGGTGGTGATGCAATGGCGCTGTTGAGGTTGATAGGGACGTGCACGCGCGCAAAAATACAGGAACTCTCAACAACTGCTTGTTGAACTCTCTTGGTTCCTGTCATATGTGCTTGAAGAGCTTTATGTTGAAATGCTGCGGACAACAATGGTTGTGGAAGGATTTCGAAACGCCCGCGTGCGTGGCAGCGCGCGCCACATGAAATTATTTGACACGGACTCGTGCAGTGGGCACATGCTAAATCAACGCGGATGCACAGCGTGTTCAAATGAGGGTGGGAGTTCTGGACATGAATGAGCGCGGGCAGAAAAACATCAAGAGGTGTATTGAACACCGGGGTCTGTTGTTTTCGACGGTTTTATGTTGGAGTTTGTAACACATAACGTGGTTGGTATGATTGCGACATTTGCACGCGTGAACTTTGTGGAACTTGTTTGGCGAAGAGACGCAAAGAAACACATATTTTGAGATAAGCGAGTGCGCACGCATTGCATCATTTGAGAGGGATGAAAAAGGGGAGGGGTCGGTACTGGCCTGACTGGAATGATCTGATTTCGTAAGGGACATGGGCGATGCTAATTGTACTGTCCCAGGGGGCCGTTAACACAGGCTCGGTGGGGGGGGATAGTTTTGCTTAAGAGGTGCACTCTGGCCTGTATCGAGAATGCAACTGCTTCCAAGTGGCCCGACGAACTCGGCGATACTTTCGAACCAACAGCGGTTAATGCTCCCCCGCGGAAAACCCGCAACGAGAAATAGACTTGCACGGTGCAGCCACGTGTGCAACGCGCGCGAAATCATGTACCACACCGGCACTTGGATTACGAGTAAGGCCTGCGCGATAATCTCGACACCAGTGGACGGTATCATCGAGCGGCCGCGACCCAGCATAACCAGCACGGTCAGGCCTCCAGGCTGGGCAGGGCCAGTCGCGGTGGGCTCTTCTGGGGGGTGCTGATCTGGGGAATGGGGGGGTCAGGCGGGGTCAGTTGGGTCCGGTGTGCGGCGACGGGCGCTCGGGGGGCGCGAGCTCGGGAGCAGCTCTTCACAGCCAAGGCCAGAAGCCCTGGTGCCAACATCGCTTGGGGAACGCTCGAGGTGGGAAGCTGGGCCGCGGTGGTCCTGTCGCCCAGGGGCGGGGGGGGGGGGGGACAAACGATCATGAGGACCGCCGTGATGCCCTGGGCGCATTTGACTGCCGCCTGGGGGTTGTCTGCCCTGTTCCTGGCGCAAAACGCATGGCCCCGACAGCGGAATCAGAAACGATCTTGCTAGGGAGGAGGGGGAGGAGGAGGAGGAGGAGGAGGAGGAGGAGGAGGAGGAGGAGGAGGAGGAGGAGGAGGAGGAGGAGGAGGAGGAGGAGGAGGGGAGGGGGAGGAGGTGGAGGGGGAGGAGGTGGAGGAGGAGGAGGAGGGGGAGGGGAGGAGGGGAGGAGGAGGAGGAGGGGGGGGATGGAATGGCTTGGCGTGGTCGCTGCTCGCCCGCCCTCGCTGCCCCCCCCACGGCCCCGCGGGGAGGCCGGTCCAGGGGCCCGCGCCGATCGGCGGAGGAGGAGGAGGAGGAGGAGGAGGAGGAGGAGGAGGAAGAGGAGGAGGGGGAGGAGGAGGGGGAGAAGGAGGAGGAGGAGGAGTGGGAGGGGGAGGAGGAGGAGGAGGAGGAGGGGGATCAGTTGGAGGATGAAGATGACGAGGCCGAGGAGAGGCAGTGGAAGCAGGCACACGCTCGACCTGCAGGGCCCGACCTCGACCTCCCCGCTGCCCCCCCCCCCCCCCCCCGGCGAGCGGCGGCGGGCCTGCTGCGACGCGCTGGGCCCCCAGCTCACCCTGCCTGCGCCCCGGCGTCGGCACCCCGCGGAGGGGCGGAGTACCCCCCCCCCCCGCTCCCGGAGGCTTCCACCCACACGGCCCGTCCTTCCCCTGGCCATCCCTCACCCCGTACTTGGATCCCTCCCTCCCTCCTCCCTCTCTCTCTCTCTCTCGCTCTCTCTCTCTCTCTCTCTCTTTATCTCTCTATCCTCCATCCTCCCGGGGAGGATGGAGGATAGGGGAGATGGGGGACCTCCACTCTCCACGATCGGTCTGCGTTCCCCCCGTCCCTCCCACGTTCCCTCTCCCTGCCTCGCCTACTCCTTCTCTGCATCCCCGTACCTCACCTCCCTTCCCATTCCTTCATGTCCCCCCTCCCCCTCCCATCCATCATTTTCCACATTCCCTTACTTCCTGCCTCCCCCCTGCTCCTGCTTTGATTCCTCGTCCCCTTCCTCCTCGCCCCGACTGTCCCCACCATCCTCCTGCTCCTCCCCAGCCTCGCCCATCCTTGCTCCTGATTGATATTTTAAGATACCCCCCCTCTCCCACCCAGCCCGTAGAAAAATATACCATATCGGGCGCAGTCGACCGATCAAAACCATACGAAGATGAAGTTGTTCCTCCCAACATGAACGATTCGTCGTCGAATCGCTCTCGCCACGGGACCGCCTTCACCTTTCGCTCGCCAACTCGTCGACAGCAGGATCGCGGGCGATCTGGCGACATGTCGTTCTCGCCTCGGCGCCGCGCAGACTTCACCTGAAAGTGGCGTTCCTGCGTGGGCATGGCGCGTACCTTGCACTCGCCAAATCGATGGGGGTAAGGCCGTGCGCGAGCGCGCGAAGTATCCGATTCGCCTAATGACAGTGAACCTTGCGCCTAGAAGTGGCGTCTCTGCTCCGGCACGGCGTATGCTTTTCGGTCGTCGAGTCGCAGAACACGGCAGCGGCAGCGGGGCCGTGCGAGAGCGAGCGAAATGTTCTCGCTGCACAGATCTTACGTGAGAGTGGCAGTGCTGCTTCAGCGCGGCGCGTGCTTCGTCTTCGCCGCGGACATCAGAAGTCTGACCGTGCGAGAGAAGGCTAAACTCAGGCAGGGCGGATAGCAAAGGGGGGGGGGTGAGAATCAACTCACGTAGCTGATTTTCCCGGCGCCTCCTGGCGCCGGGGGCGCCCATGTATCGAGGAATGGGCCCCTCGGTGGGAGTGAAACCACCTGCATGCAGCAAATTTCGTACCCCCCTCTTTCCCTATCCCCCCCTTGTGCCCGGCCCGATGAACGGCGCTCTCGCCACAGAGCCGCGCAGAGACTTTCTGGGAATTCGCTCGTGCCCGTGCGCGGCCCGTGTGTCTGCGTACAGCCGGACTTGATTGGACAGGACGCGCGAGAGGACACAAGACCCTTCCGAGTGCCACACTGCCATGGGAATGTAGGAGGCAGAGGTCGCGAGACTCCGGACACCAGGGTACCCTTTGATTTGGCAGGATCGACCTATACTAATCAGTGCCGACTCTAGAGACAGGCCTTCGGGGGTCTGCACGGATCTGTTGGGTCGGCGCTGGACCTCCGGCCCACAGCCCACAGCAGAGTGGATGAGGAGCACGGAGCCCACTGCACAGCGAGTAGCACAGTCCACAAGCACCGCGAGGCCACGTGCCAGCCAGCGCTGCCAGAGCACAGAGCAGCACGCGCCTGTCACCTTCCACAGATCCATCGTTGCAACGGCTCTCCGCACGCGACACGAGGTGGAGGCGAACGAGCGGAGGAGCTGGAGGACGAGAATGCTCTCGAACTCGCCAGTCTGGGCCGCCGGTCTCGTAAATTTGGGCCGCGGGTCTCTGGAGTGCAGAACGTGCAGACCCAGTGGGGATATGTAGACCATCTCGCAAACATAGGACGCCAATCTGGAAAATCTAGACAGGAAATCTCGCAAGTTACTCACCTTTGGAACTTCACTTCTCTCAAATTGAATTTGACACCTTCCCAGGATTCTCAACAAGGGGCACCGCATCGTCGGCCCCAGGCGCCAGGACTGTCACGAGAGGAGCGGGTTGTGAGGAGTTGGGGGGCTTGGAGGCGGACGTCGAGTACGAAGGAGCTCGGTCGGGCACCGGCGGTGGCAAGCCCGCTTCAATGGAAGACGGCGTCGAGGCGGCCACGATTGGCGCCGGCTTGCTCTGCTGCAGCCGCTGCTGCATAGACCCTCGGTGACGGCTGATAGGGAAAGGATTGGAGGGGGAGCACAAATGGGGGTGGTGGAGGATCACATGCACGCGTGCCCTCGGTGAGGAAGAACACCGTAATACCCGACTGGCAACGACAACTTAAACGATCCTGTCGCACGCCGCATAGGGCATCGTAACATTTGGCCATGTACCGTGGAGACGGTCGCGGGCAACTTCAAATAGCCCTACCTCCAAGGGCATCGTGGCATCGTTTCGTTGGCCGTGGTACGTGTCCTTGCCTAAACCGCCGCGATCGGCGCAGCAGGGCAGTAAGAAGGGCCAATTGAGCGGTAGCTGCCTGGAAAGTTCTGAGGAATCCTTGCCGTTGTGCGCACCTCTGTGGCCGATTTACCGATGTTATCCACCCTCTTTACATGTAGTGCATGCAATGGCTGTTTGTTTTTTGCGGCTTGTCCAGCGCTGAGTTCTGACACGTTTCCCAGAGGATCGCGGCCTCTAAGACGCTGCAGCCTACTTGGGTGCTAGAGTTTGTTCCAAGTCAAGATGGGGGACGATGAGGGAGAAGACGAGCAGGAGGGACGGCGAGGAGGGGCAGGAACAGACGGAGCAGCGCCAGGATGAGGGTGGAGAGGGGGGAGAATGAGAGCGGCGATGACGGCCCCAAGAACCCCCAAGACTCAAGACCTTCCTGAAACCTCCGATACTCCTCCCTGCCTCCCTCCTGACGCGACCCTCCTCGGGAGGAGGATAAGAGAAAGGCGATGGGCGCGGCGGCCGCGGCGCGCCCTCCGGGCGCGGTGGTGACGTAGGAGCTGGGGACACTGCAGCCGGCGTCCGCCTGGAGCAGGGATGGGCTCCCTCTTCAAGACCACTCTGCTGCTCTGCGTTTTCTGGGGCCCACTCGGGTAACGAGCGGCACGCGAGGCGGGGATTTATACATAACCACTGCCTGGGGGATCAATCTTCGGGGACCTCGGCAGCCGCAAAAATTCTCACTCTCACAAGTTGGCACAACGCCGGAAGAACTGTCGCTCCCACCTTTTCTCTCCCCTTCCTGACTCCCTTACCGAGTGGTGTTGTCCGCAAGTTGGCATCAACATGGCCCGTCCAACGTCGGGTGGTTCTCTGGGCACGACCGAACCGCAGCTCGGCCGCGTGGGGCTGATCGGCAGGGGATGTCGCCAGGGTGATCAGACCATCCTCGCACTGCAAGAACAAAGTCTAGATTGGCGCACAATGGCCGCCTGCCCAAATCCGCTTCAAACGCAGATACGTGGAGCTGAGGCCACATATCCTCCACTGCAAAGCCCCGACGGGAACCCCCTGGCGACGCTTACCAGCCGCCGACACTGTTCACGAAGGACAACACGGCTGTAGCATCCTCTTGCGCAATGTTATTCATTCCGATCGCTTGATTTCGGCACGGCTCTGGTCCCCCTTTCCGCCCTTCTCCGCAAACGTCAGCGCGTCACCTCCGACCTGACCCTGTTTTCGGCACAACATCCGTCCGCCCTCCATCCCCACCCGCAGCCAACCCTCATCCTCCTCCCCCGCCTACCACCGCGCCCCCTCCGCCATCGCCACGGCCATTTCATTTCGGCACGGCACCGGCGCCGCGCCCGCATCTTTCGCCCGCCCATTCCCCCCTTTCCCCCCCGCCTGTGGCCCCGACCCTGCATTTCGGCACGGCACCGGCGCGGCCCGTCCCCATTTTCCCCCACCAGCAACGCGCCCGTTCCGCCCCGACCCTTTTATTTCGGCACCGCACTGGTCCCCCCTTCGCCCTCCTCCGCAACCGCCAACGCGCCCTCTCCGCCCCGATTTTTTGCCGGCGTGGCACCGCGGTCCCCCCTCCGCACCCACCAGCCCCCCCCCCCTCCCCCGCCAGTCAGACGGCCTCCGCACGGCACTGGCGCCGCGCCCGCACCCCCCCCCACCTCCATAGCCAGCCTACTGCTCTTCCCCCACCAACCACCGCGCCACCTCCGCCCCCACTGGTCGATGTCGAAAAAGCACAGGCGCCGCGCCCGTCCCCCCCCCCCTCCGCGGCCAGCCCGCGCCCCCCTCCCCCGCCAGCCAACTGGCCCCCCTCTGCCCCGACTCTTGTGTTTCGGCACTGCACCATCACCGCGCCCCCCTCCCCCCACAGCCAGCACACCTCTTCCTCCACCGCCGACCAGCGCGCCCCTTCCGCCCGGACCGAAATACTTCTGCACTGCACAGGCACCGCGCCCCCCTTCCCCCGTACGCAGCCAGCCTGTCACCCCTCCTCAACATACATCGCGCCCCCTCCGCCCCGACCCCACTACTTCGGCACGGCACCGGCGCCGCGCCCGCTCCCCTCCCGCCTCGGCAGCCCGCCCACCTCCTCGTCCCCCACCAGCCAGCGCGCCGTCCGCCCGACCCTTTTATGTCGGCACCGACGCCGCGCCCGCCCACCCCCCCACCTCCGCAGCCAGCTCACCTCCTCCCCCCACACCCAGCCCAGCTCCCCCTCGCCAGCAAGCGCGCCCCCCGCGCCCCGCCCAGCATCGGCACCGCCGCTGGAACCCCCCACGGCCAGCCCAGCCCCTCCTCGCCCCTCGCCCACCAGCCAGCGCGCCCGTTCAGCCCCGACCCGTGTATTTCGGCACGGCACCAAGCACCAGGGCCGCATTATCCCTTGCGCCCCCACAGCCAGTCCAGCTCCTCTTTGCCCGCATGCCAGCGCGCCCTGTCCGCCCCGATCCACAAATTCGTCATGCCACGGGCGCTGCGCTCTCCCCCCCCCCCGCCCCGATCGTTTTACATCAACCCTGACCGGATAGGAACGGGAAGCGTCGCTGTTGTCCAATAGGTATGTGAAGCATGCTCTGTTGTTGGTCTGCCGCGCAAGAATGTCGTGGCGTGCGTGCGTTTGCGCGCGTGTGCGTGGAATATGTGCATGTGTGTCCGTGCGTGGTGGTCTGTGGCACTGCTGTGTTATGCCGTGCTGCTCTGCCGTTCTCCTCCGATCTGCGTGAACGTAAACTGCCTCTCTCTGTGCGTGCGTGTGTGTATGTGTGTGTGAGAGAGTGTGCGTGTGTATATGTACATGTGTGTGCGTGGGCGTGTGAGTGTGTGTTTGCCTGTGTGCGTGTGCCTACGTGCGTGTGCCTGTTCGTGCGGCTGTGTGAATATATGTTATATGTGTTCTGCCGTGCTCCTCTGTATTCTGCCATGGCCCTGCTCGACCGCGCTCTTATGTGTTCTGCCATGCTCTTGCGCGTTGGGCTGGGTCGGTGGGGCCGTACAGGCGGGGGGGGGGGGGGGGGGGGCGGGGGCAAACCGAGGGGGGCCGAAGGGCCGCCCCTCCCGAGGAGGCCGCGTTGCCCCCCCCCCCCCCCCCCCAGACAAGTGCAGCACAGACGGAAAGGCGAAGCCTCTGGCATATACTACACAAGACAACCATCAAGTGCAGCAGCACTGGCAAGAGCAAATACTACACAAGATCGCATCAAGTGCAGCACTGAAAAGAACAGATACTACACAATACCCCATTCGACCCGCAACACCAGACTCATACAAGCACTGCGCAAAAGAACAGAGCCTAAACATGATCAGGGGAAGGAGGAATATCACTCCGAGCACTCGCCAGGGCGCCAGGGCACGCTCTCCAGGTGCTTCGCCTGTGCCGCCTGCAGCAGCCGAAGGCCCTCGGCGATGTCGCCGCGCTGGAGGGCATCTCTCGCCAGCATGGCGGCGCCGAACGCCTCGGCCTCCGCCTGGGCCTGCACTGCGCCCACGGTCGACTCCACCACTCCCTGCGAGGCCTTCGCGCCGTGCGCCGCCAGGTCGGCCTCCGCGGACTCCGCGCCCTCCTGGGGCTCGACCTCGGGCTCCTCGACGAACGGCAGGCCCTCGGATGGGGCCGCCCGTTCCTGCACCTCCGAGGCGGACGCCGAGGACGCGGGCCTCGGCCAAGTCCAGGAGAGACTCAACTCCCGACTTCGGCCCCTTGGCCGCACGCGCCACCGCCGCCGCCGAGAAGCCGTCCAGGAACAAAACGAACACGCCCTCTGAGCTCGAGAGGCCATCGCCCTCCGACGCGGTGCACGCAGGAGGGGCCTGCGTGCCCCCGCTCACGAGGGCCGCATCATTCCGAGCTAAGCATTGCACAACCTGGGCGTCGAGGCGAGCGCTGTCCGAGCAGATCGCGCTGCGCGCCGAGCCGCTGGACGCGTCCACCTGCTGCGCGCCCCCAAGCGGCGAACGCAAGGAGCCCACGGAGGCGGGGGCATCGCTGGCGCTGCGATCCGCACGCTCGCCAGGCACCTCACCGCCGCCCAGGCCCCGGGCAGGCGCGTCAGCAGCCTCCAGGGGCGGAGGCGGCCCAGGGGCCGCGGGGCCGACGCCGACGCTACCCTCCAGCTTGCCAGGGCCAGGAGCGCCATCGTCGTCGGAGTCGGACACGTGTTTCTGAAAGAACCGCACGGTCTTCACCACGTCCAGGGACTTGGGGCGACGCCTGCGGCGCCTGGCGCCGCGCCTCACCATGGGGCTCGCGGCGCCAGGGGCGTCCGCAGCAGCATCGCCGCCGCCTGCCACGGGCGCGGCCCGCTCCTCGCCCGAATCACGGCAGCACCAGGGGCTGGGAGCCCAAGGCCCTGGGCCCGCGCCGCTCCCTCCTGATGAGCCGCCGCCAGACTTGTCCATCTCGCTGTCGACCTCCTCGAGCACGGTGGCCGCCGAGGATGGGCCTGCCGCGCAGCGGCGGAGGCTAGGCTGCCATGGCCCTGCCGCCGCCGCACGCCTAGCACGCGCAGCGCGCCCGCCCCGCTGGGCGCAGGTAGGCCGCCCCAGCGCCGACGCCGGCGCAGCGGCCCCATCGCCCAGCAAGGCGTGCGCGCCAAGGTTCCGCGCCGCACGGACGGCTCCTCCTGCCTGCTGGCCGCGGATGGCCTGCAGCAGAGCTGGAGCCACCGCCGCGAGGCGGAGGGCGAGCTCCTCGATGTTCGCCGAAGGGGCCTCGACGGCCATCACCAGCGGCGCCAGCGATTCCACGGCCGTGCGGACGGCGGCCGCCACCGCAGCCGCCGCTACATGCCGCGTTGAGCCCGCCGCGCCCGCAGCCGCCCCGCGCGCTGCTAGCTCGACGGCGCCAGCCAGCGCGCCCCAGGCCGCGGGATGCGCATCCACATCGCTGACAACGCCCGTCATCAGCGGAAGGCCGTGGCCACTCAAGAGTGCGGGAAAGGGCGCCCCCCCGCGCGGCTCTTGAGCCAAAATGGCTACGGGTGCTCTTGCGTGTTCTGCCGTGCTCCTATGTGTTCTGCCGTGTTCCTGCGTGTTCTGCCGTCAACAATGCCGTGCACCTATGTGTTTCGCCGTGCTCCCAAGTGCTTTGCAAATCCTGCCGTGCTCTTGTGTTGAAGTTAAAGTTCAAGACGGGGTCTTCAAGGCACAGGGAAAGGGAAACGGGGACAGGGCCAGGCGGGACCAAAGTTCCCGAGAGACGCCGAGTCCCATGCAAGCGAGCCACGCGCGCCTACTCACACGGGAGCAACAGGCGCGGGCGGACAGGCGGGAAAGTCTTCAATCACTCCCCGACGACTCCGAGCCGCGGCGCGCCAGGCGGCGGCGGACCCTACGGCCCACCAGGCCGCCGCGAGGCGCGGCGCCCGCGGCTGCGCGCTCCTTCTCGGCGGCCTCACCTGCGCCGAGGGCGCCAGCGCTCGGGCCTGGCCGCTGCTGGGGCAGGCTGGCAGCCGCCGCCTCCACTGCCTGCGCTGCCGCGGGAGCCGCTGGGCCGCTGCCCGAACTGCTGGCCGCGGCTGAGGCTCCGCCTGCAGGCTCCGCCTCCATGCCGAGCCACTCCAG